AGTGACAGGCTGGCAGGCATTGCAGACACAAGTTACAGAAGAGGCTGTTTTGAAATGTCTTTACCTGAATACTCGTACAATGAGGGTTCAGATTTTCACCCGATTGGCCATTTTTGAAGTGGTCTGCAGCTATGCACTTATGTTTGGTCACATCTATAGACCGCTTTCTGTGACCAGATTGGGCAAAAACTGTCACTTCTGGCTGTGCCTTTACATCCTACCTTGTGACATGCTATATAGCAGATTAGCAGCCAACCTTTTAGGCAGGTGTGCCACAATTTAATATCTTCCCAGAGTGCTGCTCTCATCCCTTTTGGGTGCCCAATTGGCCATTCTGCCTTCTGCTCCCTGCCTGTGCTCCTTACTTGATCTGCTTGTCTACGTTCTGCTCCTTGCCTTGTGCCCCCAGCCTGATCTGCTGCTCTGCTTTCTGTTTCCTACTTTGTGTGTTCCACCATGTTCCCTTCCCAACCTATCATGCATCACACGCAGAGGCTGCCATGCCTCACATGCATGAGGAAGCCAGTGAAAATCCTACTAACCTGTATGTGAGTAGATAAACCACAATGCTCCTGTCAGCAGTGCTCCAATCACAAATGCTGCAAAGGCGATGCCCACAACAGTCAGAGTGTCCAGGCCATAGAAGACGGCTACAAATTAAAAAAACAAACAAACAAACACCGTAAAAATCCAGTTCTCCCATTTTCAAGGCTGAAAAGTGATTGTAAGAATTTTCCCTCCCATTCTCACACAGACATCCTTTACTTTTTTGTATTTAATTGGACATCACTTAGACAAACAGGATGCTATGGAACACACTGGGTGCATCTACACGTGCACTTTACTGCAGAGTAGTCTAATTAGCTCTGCAATAATAATTTATAATCCATCTACATGTGTGCCAGTATTAGAGCGCAGTAAACTAATTAACTCTGCCATAGCATAGTACTGTTGGGGAGACTACTATCTTACAGCATAGTACTTTATCACACTGAAATGCAAGTGTAGACACTGACTGGGGGCATAAATTGCACCTGGTCAGCCCTGGCTCAAATTGCTGCTGTCCCAGCTGCATGTGTAGACGCTGCACCTGGAAGCAGCTGACTCTGGCTTAAACTGCTCTGGAGCTTATTGCTTCACATTAATTGCACATGTAGATGCAACCACTGAGTAAGGAAAGACTATGCGTAGACTGCCAGAGGTGAGCATGAAGACTTGCTTTAGTTTATTAAACTGCTCTGTGTCACAAACCAAAACCCAGCTCAACGGTCCCCTGCTCAGAATTAAACAAACATTTGTTGTTAATTATTTTTTGTTTTAAATTAAATACCAGTTTAACTTTAATGTGGTTTTAAAAAAGCTGTGATGTGTTAGTAAAAGATCCCCTTGGATTCACATGTCCTGCCACTTAAGCCAACTTTCCTCCATATTCTTTGTAACTTTAGCTCTATATGTAGGTGGAGACCGGAACTGCTGT